TAGCTAGATTTACCCATGACACTGAATTTGAAGTGCTTCCCAAAGGTCATGCACTTGGGTCCTGGTTTTGTTTTGTTTCTGCTCTGCCAGTCTCTGCCTTTTGATTGCTGCAGTTCAAATGTTTCCCTTTAAAGTCATTACTGGTAAGCTAAAGTCTGCCACATTATTATTTGTTATCTGTTTGTTTCACCTGGTCTTTGTCTTTCTGTTTGTTTTCTTGCCTTCAACTCACTTACTGTTTTAGATTCAGCCCTGATGTTTTAGCTGTTTGTGCAGCTTCTGCAGGTGGCTGCCCTGAACAGCTACAATATAAATATGCCTGCAGGTGTCAATATCCCCCACCAGCCCAGGTCCCTTCAGCTTCCTCCCTTGAAATATTAGGGTCTTATGTATCAGATGAGTCATAAGTTTTGTTTCAATTGTCAGTCATATTGATGCATAAACTGAGAGGAAAAGCAGACTCACCACCCTTGCCCATTTTCCTCCCTGATGTTCTGCTTTTCTTTTATCATTTCCTTTCTGTTTGCAATTCCTCCTCCAGCCAGTCCTTAAGGGCAGGCCTGCCGACAACTGACGGTGTTCATCCCCTTCACCTGAATGTCATCCTTTTCCCGTCATGCCTGAAGGACAGTGTCATTGAATATTGAATGCACAGTTAATATTTTTTTCTTTCAACTTTGGAAAATGTATTAATTTCCTTCTGGTCTCCAATATGATAAGTCCACCATCATTTAAATTGGTGTGCCTCTATTTGTGATCTTGTACTTCCCTGTGACTGCTTTTAAGATTGTTTCTTGTGTGTATGTGTTTATATGTGTGTATTTTGTGAAATTTATTTATTTTTTATTGGGTTACAAACAATGAAAAGCACAAATCTTAGTGTACAGCTTGATGAATCTTGACCTGTGTATGTACAGTTATCTAAGCGTTGCCCAGATCAAGATGCAAAACATTCTAATTTTTTCATCTTCACCTATTTCACCCATCCTCCCACTCCTTCTCCTGTGGGAACTACCAATCTGTTCTCTGTGTTTATGAGCCTATTTTTATTTTGTTTGCTCATTTGTTTTATTTTTTAGATTCCACATATAAATGAAATCATATGGTATTTGTTTCTTTCTGACTTACTTAACTTAGCATAATACCCTCTAGGTCAATCCATGTTAACTGCAAATGGCAACATTTCATTTTTTTAATGGCTGAATAACATTCCACTGTATATATGTACCACATCTTCTTTATCCATTCATTTATCGATGGACACTTACATTGCTTCCTGTGGATAAAATGAAGATTCCTGTGGCCCTGATCCTCAACTGGCCCTGGTTAGCTAACTCACTACACATGTGTGGGCAATACATTGTTATTGACTCTATCTAAAGAGCTCCACCCAGTGCTCTGGGCGACAAGGTGGCAAGGCTGCAAGGCTACAGGAGAGCAGAGCAGAGGCTGGAGTTGGGGCAGTGCCAAGGACAGAGACTGGGACAGAGGCTGTGCAGGCAGAGAGGCCCAGAGGCAGAGACCAGCTTGCTGCATGTAGATTCGCTCTGAGTGAAGGGGATTTTAGTGACTGACTTGCCACCGTGGAAATAAAGTTGGGTATAACCCTTTCACTCCAAGAATGTTCTACTGTCATTTCTTTGGTCACATTGAATCCATGGTGAACTTGCCCAGGGCTGAAACCCATTGGCAAGACACTTCCATATCTTGGCTATTGTAAATGATGCTGCAATAAACATAGGGGTGCATATCTTTTCAAATGAGTGATTTTACTTTCTTTTGGTAAATTCCCAGAGGTGGAGTTACTGGGTAGTATGGTATTTCTATTTTTGATTTTTTTGAGGAACCTCCATACTGCTTTCCACAGTGGGTATACCAATTTACAGTCCCACCAAGGATAGGAGGGCTCCCTTTTCTCTACATCCTAACACTTGTTATTTCTTGTCTTTTGCATAGTGGCCATTCTGACTAGTGTGAACTAATATCTCACTGTGGTTTTGATTTGCATTTCCCTGATGATGAATGATTTGGTATATCTTTTTATGAGTCTGTTGGCCATCTGTATTTCTTATTTGGAAAAATGTCTATTCAGGTCCTCTGCCCATTTTTTAATCAGATTATTTGGGGGTTTTTTTGGTGTTGAGTAGGGTAAGTTCTTTATATATTTTGGATATTAAACTGTTATAGGATATGTCATTTACAAATATATTCTCCCATACCATAGGTTGCCTTTTCATTTTGTTGATGGTTTCCTCTGCTATGCAGAAGCTTTTTAGTTTGATGTAGTCCC